TTAAGGGTGGAGATTTGGTGCCCTCTCTACAAGCTAAATGAAATAAACACACAAAATGGAGAGTAGATAAAGAGGTGTTAAAAATAAGTGTGTCCTAACAATGTGATACCTTGGCCTAGAGAAGATGGGCCATGCTCCTGGTATCATCTAAAAAAGCTGAGCTCACCAGCTGTGCAGGCAGTCCAGGCAGGGGCCAGCAGTCAAGGAAAAGCAGATCCTGAGATGGATCAGCTCTTCACCTCTCAGGTTATAGAAAGAGACAGAGAGACAAAGAGAGAGACAGACAGACAGAGACAGAGAGAGAGAGATTTCTTTCTCTTCTCTCACCCCCAACCCCCAGTAATGGCACTTGACAGCATTGCTATTTCTCCAATTTGGAGAGGTACATTTGAGATGCATGGAGACGGGAGAAGAGACATACATGTTCCAAGCATACATACATACATAAACACACATGCAAATATGTGTGTATATATGTAAATGTATGTATATGTGTGTGTATACATATACATACATATCTACACACACAAAAGCATCAGCCCAGCAGCTTCAAGGAATGTGGTTCCTAGAAGCAGAGAAGGGCCAACTGTGGTTTCAGGAATTACCCCTGGCAAATGGGTGCTCACATTAGGAAGAAAATAGATTCAGGGAGCCTAGCTACATGAGAACATATAGCAGAAAAGAGAAGAGCATGAGGATTCCATTAGTTAAGAAACTACAGTATCAGAGCTATGCATGCCAGGGCAACACGTCCTCTGTCATTTGTGCCTCACTACCAGAAACTCCAAGCCTGCTCCTTCTCTCCCCACTGATGCTGTATGTATTCATGGGAGACTGAAACCCAGGTTTATGAGGAGAACATTTTATAGTTCTTCCTATGCCATCTTAGTAAATGCTGTTGCTTTGACCTAATTGTGGCTACTGGATTGCCATTTGAAATAAATTCATTGGTTGGGGCTTATGAGCTATAGTGACAGCAGTGCATATGCACAGGATAACCCAATCCAAGGTAGTAGTCAAGACTCCAGTATAAGTATGAGATGAGGTAGTAGCTCCCAAAGGGAATGCTACATACAATATTGTGAAAATAATATTTCTAACACCAACCTCACAGAGTTAGTGTGAAGATTAAATAAAAAAGGTGTGCAAAGTGATTTATTACTTTTGTTATTTCTTATTTTTATTATAGTGCCATATAAATGTAAGCAATTGTTATTAACATGAAAGAATATTGAAATGATATGATTTGTATTTTTTCCTAAACATTCTTGTCACTAAACAACAAAATTTGACAGTTTATAAATGTTTATGGTCACCTATTTCTTATGTTTTTATTGCTGTATGATTTTTTTAAAAATAAGTAAAATACAGTGGTACCCCAAATAAAAGTAATGAAAATTAAAGTAGTAAACAAGCTGTTAGGATGACTATTATGCAAAGACATTTATTTACCTGTTGTAATTTGATTTTCATTTACTGAAAAGGAACTGGATGTTATTTCCCTCTTCCCCTTTGGGCAACAGGACATTGCAAAACGTGTATAGTACCATGACTGTAAGTATTTTTCTCAAATTTTTAATGAGGGAAGCTGAATTAATATTGGTATTCATCTTTAATTGGCAGTGATAGAATTAAACAAAACTGTGACCATCTCAGGTTTGTCTTTTTCTAAATGCTACATATTTGTGGAATTTTTATTGTTAACATCAAAGAAAAAAATTCAGGGCTTTTATAACTTTCCTCAAACTTTCAGGGAAGTGTAATAACCTGTTAGAGAGTGTCAGTTAATATCAACAAAATATTTCCAAACTCTATAAATAGAATTGACTCAGTGAGGATAACCAGAAGCTTGGATAATACCTGGATAAATAAAATCTATAAAATATTTTATTTTAGCCAGCAGTCTAAACTTCACTTCCAATATTTACCAAAGTCTATGAAATTTAAAAAAGAAATGTTAAAAAAAATCTATGAAACAGCAAAATTGATTAATTTGGACATCAACTAGATAACTCTTTTTAGTAACAAAGGTAAGGACAAGCTGAAAGGGCAGAGAAAAACAGGTTGACGGGAAAAAAGAAATGACTAAGAATAAAATATGAGAACAAAATGGAGCAACATTAATAGAAAGCAGATTAAATGGGATGCCAAAGTTTGAATTTCCCAAAGTGATTAATGATTTTATCCAACACATATGTAATTATCATCAGTCCTTTACTGATCTTCATTTCAGTCACTCATCTGAAAATGAATACTTTTCTTCAACAGTGATGCCTCTTTATACAGATAAGAAAACGAAATAACATTTAATCAATTTTCCAACTAAGACTAATAAGTACAGTAGAAAAATCAAAATCTGGACTTGGAGTCAGGACATCTGAGTTCAATTCCTGCCTCAGTCACTTATTATCTGTACCTCAAGAAATCACTTAACCTCCCAGATCCTATTTCATCATCTGTAAAATTAGAATAATAATAATTGCACTACCTACCTGAGGGGGTTCTTATAAGTACTATATAGATGTTGGTTAGAGCAGCTAAATGGTACAGCAGAGTGCCAAGTCTGTAGTTCAGAAGACTCATCTTCCTAAATTGAAATCTAGCCTCAAGACACTTCCTAGCAGCGTGACCCTGGGCAAGTCACTTAACCCTGTCTGCCTCAGTTTCCTCATCTGTAAAATGAGCTGGAGAAGGAAATGGCAAACCACTACAGTATCTTTGCCAAGAAAACTCCAAATGGGGTCACAGAGAGTCAGACATGACTGAATAACATTAACAATAGATGTTGGTTATTGTTATTGTCCTTTTTGTTGTTAAGACTAACCTCAAAGAGAAGCAATGTAAAGCAACAATCACAACCTTATATCTGTGTTACTGGAAGAAATTTCCACAATGTGAATTCCCTACACGGATGAAATCAAAGGTCCAAAACAAAATTTTTTATGAATGTTTTCTAGTATAATGGTCAAACAGAACAAGTTTAAATGGAAAGGAGTGGGGGTGGGGGCAGGAAGACAATACTCAGTGAGAAGAAATAAGAAGTGGAAACGGTACTTCCCAACATCTACCACAAATGAGAATAGGTAGGAACTGAGGGAAAGTAATTTCTAGGCATAGGTGCCACAAATAACATAATGGCAGGTTGCTAAGAAATTTAAGATAAATTCAGTGTGACTGTTTTGCCATTTCCATCAATCTGTGTGGAAGATGGGAAACAATTATTTTATATAAAATTTCTCATTTTTTATCAGTCCAGGAAGTCAGAAAAGGTTTCTATGTCATTGTTAGTTCAAAGATACGCTTAAAGGCAGAGATGATCATTTTTGCTTCACTATCTTTCTGCATCCATTTATACTTTAAAAATCAGAGACTGAAAATCTGATTCTAGTGCCATTGAAATTTGCTAAAACAGTGTCACTATAATTCCACATCATATGCAACTTTCTCTTTTTCTCTTCGTCCTCTGTCAAATTACAGAGGAATCTTTATGTGCTTGTTTCTTTCTTCTCCTCCTACCTATACTTCTGATCTGCCTGCCACAACTGGAATATTGCTTAGGTCTGCAGTAGGTTATGACAGCTAAAGTGATTGCTGACCTCAAGTCTAAGAAAAAAAAACGGAACTGATGTCTAATCTGATATTACTATAGTAGGTTTTAAAAGAATTACAATCTGGTCAGCTAGAAGGCACAGTGGATAGAGCACCAGCCCTGAAGTCAGGAGGACCTGAGTTCTAATGCGGCCTCAGACACGTGATACTCTAGCTGTGTGATCTTGGGCAAGTCACTTAACCCAGCTTGTCTCGCACACAAAAAAATTACTATCTGTTCTTGGTTATCTGTAGTAATGGATATGTTAAAAACTCCACTAAAATAATAATATTTGCATATTTACAAAGCGCTTTACAAGTATTGTCTCTTTTTATGCTCACAACAATTGTGGGAGGTAGATACTATTATTACTCCCATTTTACAGATGAGAAATGTGGGTCAGATAATGCTCTTAAGTGACTTGTCCAGGATCACACAGCTATTAAGTGTCTGAGACTGGATTGGAACCCGGGATTTCCTAAATTCATGTCTAACACTCGGCTTTAATCAATAATTTCGATCTCTTTCTCTAGAAAACCTACAACTGCAAAATTGACCCAACTCTATTTCCTCTCCAGCCCTGCCTGTTTCTGGTGACCAAAAGACCTGAATGAAACTTTGGGTCAAGTCAGAGAAATGGATAAGCGAACAAACCTCGTGAAAATTTTCTGTGGCAGTAAAAGAAGTCGATGTACAAATCCTGAACTCCTGTAAACTCTCTGGAATCAACTTCATTCAGAAAAGGTACTTTTTCACTTACATTAATTGAATACATTAAAACCCGGATAATGCCAAAATATTCACACGACTTTTATGATCGCTCAAGCTTTTCTAAGTAATTCACCTTCCCCAAGGCCGGGTGTAAATAGACATGCAATCTCCCAGCCCCTTATGATGCCCGTTCGCGTCAGAAGCAGCTTTGTCCCTCCCGCCCTCTCCCTCCCGACTTCAGAGGTTGGGAGCGGAGGAAGTAAAGCGATAAACAGATTTCTTCTCCAGGTGAGGAGCCCTAAGGACTTCAAAGGCATTTGCAGCCCCTGTAGCACGCTCCAGTTCCACCTTGCATTTGCGGAGAAGCCACAAACGAGGAGCCAATCTAAGGTCAAGTTTGCTGCTGCCATCTACACGGGCACAGCCGAACTGCGCCCAAACCCTCCAGGGCCACCCAATCCTGCAAAGTCTACAGGAGTCATCAGGACTGGGAGAAAAGGCCTTAGGAGAGATCCCATCCCTGGCGAGGGAGGCTGGCACTGCGGGCCTTTCCCTTCCCGGAAAGGGAGCTAGGGAGCTGAGGACCCTTGAGTCTTGGGTTTCTTTTGTCTTGCCCTCATCCATTTACTTTCTTCTTCTTCCTCCTCTCCCTCCCGCAACAAGAACATGGGACTCCCTCGTGCCAAGACACCATACTCACCTCCTGAAGTCCAGGACCCGCCAGGGGTGGAAGAGGTAGAAATCAGCAGAGAAACAAGCCTTCCAGTAGCAGTCTCCGCCCAGGCCCAGGGTTTACAGGAACCAAAAGCCAAACCAGCAGAGGCGGAGCTGTGACCGCGCTCCGCCCTTGTTTAGTCTCTGAACCCCACCCCAACCCCGCCCCCAATCTCCGCCCCAGCTCCTATACAGCCCCTAAAACTCTACTCTTCCAGGCTCAAGGCCAGCGGTTTGATAGCTACAAGCGCTGGAACGTCTATCTAGAACCTGCTGAACTCGTGGGCCCCTGCACTGCAGTCTACCAAGCCATAGAAGCTGTCACGGGTCAGGCTTGGATCCTCCGCACTCCCTCAGCTTCCTCGCGGGTTATAGATTCCATTCTGCCACTTTCATGTGCATTCCGATGTGACCTGGACTACGGAGAACTCAGATCTACTAATATTTTTCTGGTAGTGGTCCACCTGAATACATGCACTTCTAAAATGTATATTTGGTCTTTGTGCTTTTTTATGCAAGACCACAGACGACCAGTAACTAAGTTGCAAATTTCAAGACTTCCAGGTGGCAGAGTACCGAAGCTTTAGAGTTGTCTGCCCCAGCAATATAAGAAGATGAGAAAAGAACAATCATTAGGAGGATGAAGGGATCTTGTGGTTTTAGACTTTACCTCACAATGTGTTATTTGATTAGATTCAATTCAACAAACATATTCAGTGCCTACTAAATGCCTACTGTGAGAGGTGGTCTTGTTCTTTTTTTACATGTAAGTATTAATTTCCCCCAAACTACAATGTAAACACTTAAGAGGTAAGTAGATAATTTTTATTTTTGTTACTGGGCCTACCAGAGCAGGGGATACTCAGTGAGCAATAAACGTTTGGTGAATAAACAGATGAATGAAAAGAAGTTGAATAAAAGTGAACTTACCTTTTATTTCCAAACTACATTCCTAGGGTTGAATTCAATAGTCCTTGGCTGAAGAAAAGCAATTCAGAATAGATTTTATTTACATCTATGTGGTCCAATGGATAGGAGAGCTCTGGTCCTGGAGTCAGGACAGACCTTAGTAATCCATCTTCAGACTCTTACTAGCTGCGTGACCCAGGGCAAGTCACTTTATTTTTTGTAAATAATTAATGTATTTATTTTTAGTTTTCAAAATTCACTTCCATAAGATTTTGAGTTTTAAATTATCTCCCCCTCCCTTTCCTCCCCCCTCCCCAAGATGGCATACAATCTGATATACATATACATTCATATTAAGCATATTTTCACATTAGTCATGATATAAAGAAGAATTAGAACTAATGGGAGGAACCACAAGAAAGAAGAAACAGAACAAAACAACAAAAGAAAAGGAGAGCAAATAATATGCTTCCATCTGCATTCAGACTCCATAGTTCTTTCCCTGGATGTGGATAGCATTTTCCATCAAGATTCTTTTGGTGTTGTCTTAGATCCTTGCATTGCCGAAGACAGCTAAGTATATCAAAGTCAGTCATCACATAATGTGCCTGATACTGCATACAATGTTCTCCTGGTTCTGCTCACTTCACTCAGCATCAGTCCATACAAATCTTTCCAGGTTTTTCTGAAGTCTGCCTGCTCATCATTTCTTATAGCACAGTAGTATTCCATTACATTCATACACCACAACTTGTTCAGCTATTCCCCAATTGATGGGTATCCCCTCATTTTCCAATTCTTTGCCACCACAAAAAGAGCTGCTATAAATATTTTTGTACATGTGGGTCATTTTCCCATTTGTATGATCTCTTTGGGATACAGACCTAGAAGTGGTATTGCTAGATCAAAGGATATACACAAATTTTATAGCCTCTTGAGCGTAGTTCCAAATTGCTGTCCAGAATGGCTGGATCAGTTCACATCTCCACCAACAATGCATTAGTGTTGCCATTTTCCCACATCTTTTCCAACATTTATAATTTTCCTGTATTGTCATTTTAGCCAATCTGAAAGGTGTGATGTGGTACCTCAGAGTCATTTTGATTTGCATTTCTTTAGTCAATAATGATTTAGAGCATTTTTCATATGACTATAGATAGCTTTAATTTCTTCCTCTGAAAATTGTCTGTTCATATCCTTTGACCATGTATTAATTGGGTAATGACTTGTATTCTTATAAATTCAACTCAGTTCTCTATAGATTTTAGAAATGAAGCCTTTATCAGAGGCATTGGCTATAAAAATTGTTTCCCAGCTTTCTGCTTCCTTTCTAATCTTGGTTGCATTGGCTTTGTTTGTGCAAAAACTTTTCAATTTAAAGTAATAAAGTCATCCATTTTGCATTTCATAATGTTCTCTAACTCTTTTTTGGTCATAAGTTCTTCCCTTCTCCATAGATCTGATAGGTGAACTATTCCTTGCTCTCCTAGTTTGCTTATAGTATCAAATCTTTATATCTAAATCATGTACTCATTTTGACTTCATCTTAGCATAGGGTGTAAGATGTTGGTCTTTGCCTAGTTTCTGCCATGCTATTTTCCAGTTTTCCCAGCAGTTTTTGTTAAATAGTGAGTTCTCATCCCAGAAGCTGGAGTCTGGATATATCAAATAGTAGATTACTATAGTCAATGACTGTTGTGTCTTGCATACCCAACCTATTCCACTGATCCATGGGCAAGTCACTTTAAAAAAAAACTTTGTTTGCCTCAGTTTCATTATCTATAAAATGGAAATAATAATAGCACCTACCTCCCAAGACTGATTTATGGATAAATTGAGATCACATTTGTATAGTTCTTTGCAAACAAAGTATTATATAAATGCTAGATATTATTTAATGCACACCATAGACAGAGATAGAACAGAAAATTAATATTGAAACCTGGGGAAAGTGGTGACAAGGAATCAGGAAAATAAACCAATAAATGAGAAAAGCTTGGATTTCCTCTGGATCACAAGAATTCCTCTCCCCCCCCACCCTTGCCCCCCATGCGGTTATTTAGAGTACAAATGTCATACTGTCTTTATGTTCCAGAAGGTAGCAGGCAACTCACTCTTCTACTCTACCTTAGACATATTACAAGGGATCACACCTTATTTTACTTTTGTTACAATTCACATTTGGATTGCTTTGAGTGTTTCAGAAGATAGCCTTCTTTCATTGATAACTCATTAACATATCATATCCTCTAAGAACAATGGTGGCTCTACATAAGCAACAGTTTAATCCCAAATCATGATTTACATGCAAGAAGTGACAGAAAATATATCAAAAGACATGTATGACTAGAAAAAGCTTCAGGAGAAGTAGCTCTAGGATATAGTGAATAGAGAGTTGGCTTTCAAGTCACAAAGATCTAGGTTCAAGGCCTGCTTCTAACAAAGGAAGGTAAATTTTGAGGGTAAAGCCTACTTTGATATCATGGAGTTTACTGGCTAGATTTCTTTCTTAAATACCAAGCCTGAAACCCAATTCACTCTAGCTCTCCTGAGTTGGCCAACAATAGGTCCCTGCCTTCGCACCACTTAATGGTTATTTTTTGAGCCCAGATGACTCAGAGTGAATGTAAATAGTAATTGTTTCTCTTTTGGCCAGAAACAGCCCTGAGGGTCTCCCCTTCCCAGTTTGATTTTTTTTTTTTTTATTTAAAGGGGCCTTCCCTTGGCCCACTTCTTAAACAGCCCTATTCACTGAATAGACGTTGCCTCAAAGTGAGAACTTGGAAAGACTTTAGTTTAAAAGACCAAGGTCTCCTACTGCATGCTGGGTCAACTTCTGATCTATATCTGGCCATTGGATCCAGATGGCTCCTGAGGAACAAGTGAGGCTGGGGACTTTGTACAGCCCTCCCTCACTATAATCTAATTCACTTGTAAGTCATGGCATCAACTTCCTGATGTCATGGTCCTCGTCAAAAACAAAGGACAAACCATACACACAACCTCTAATACATACAGGCTGGAAGATTCTCAGCAAGTCCCTTAACCTCTCCGTGCCCTTAGGCAACTTGATAAAAACAAAAGTTACAAAACTAGTGCTAATCTGTATATTTTACATAGAGTTCCCTATACCAATAAAATCATGAGTTTCGAGATGTATATATTTGATTACATATATGGCTATATATGTACATGTATGTATATTTAAAGATTTCAGACTAGGTTATGTAGCAAGAGTAAAAATAACTGATGGACACTCAGAGTGCTGCATTTGTACCACAAAACATTAAAATACTTTGAGTAATATTTCCAAAGAACTAATTAGATCAACCATAGAGGATTTACACAAGGACACAGACAAGAATTACACAGGATAAGAAGGCACTGATTCACATTGATTAATCATAAATCCATTGAAGTATTTAAGCATTTTTAAAGCACTAAGCCAGGGACTAAGGATACAGAGATTTAAAAAAATGACACAGTTCCTATCCTTAAGAGACTTAAATTTAATGGGGAGGGGATAATGAGATGGGAACATCAATAACTGGTAAATAACAAATTTAATGTATAAAAAATCAAATGGATTAGGATGAGAAAACAATCTTGGGACAAGAAAGGACAGAATAAAAAAAAGCTAATTGGGAATTGATACTATAGATAAGTAAGGATTAGTAAGAGAGCACATAGCTGCCCTAGATGAATTCAAGTTACCTGGACCTTATAAATGCACTCTGGTTCTCTCACTGATGGGCCAATAATAGGTCCCAGGCTAAGCCCTATTTGGTCATTCTTTGGGCCCTGATTGATCTAGAATGAATGTAAATAGCAATTGTTTCAGAAACCCTGAGAGTCTTTCCCTCCCAGATGTATTTTTTTTAAATTTTGGTTTTGTTTTTATTTTACTTTTATATTCAGTTTCAAATTCTAGCCTTCCTTTCACCCCTCCCCCACCTATTGAGAACTACAATACCTATTTTACATACGAAATCATATTTCTGCATTAGCTATGCTCCTCCCCCACCTGCCACCCCCTAAAACAACAAGAAAAATAAAGGAAGGGAAAAAAATATGCTTCGGTCTGCACTCTGAATCATTAGTTCTCAATCTGGAAGTGGATAGCATTTTTTATCATGAGTCCTTTGGAGCTGTGATGGATCATTGTCTTTCATAGTTGA